TTATCTAATGCAAGTTATTATTTTTTTTTTTTAATGTTCAATATTTCCTCGGACATCTGCAATAAATTCCGTGCAGACGTCTGTGAAAATAATGAATTGAAATTACAATTTGAACTAGAATTTCAATCAGATGTTTACCCAGACGTCTGTGACAAATTGTATCCGCCTTTTTTCAATGTCTATTATGAATAACTTTGACTGTAATAAAGGAAACTATTGAATGTAATAAATGAAATAATAAATGACATAGCTGCATGTTACAATATCGCCAGTTACTGTTCTTTGATCTTAACACATAAAAGTTTTAAAATTAAGCACGTTTATTTAAGCTAAAAGGAGTGTGAAAAAACTGCACATTCTGGAAGTGTACCCGGGTCGCCTGCATGGAAATCCATCTAACCATTATGCCATCGGAACCACCGTTTCGGAGTGAAAAATATGCCGAATATCTAGAAACTGGTTTAAATATATTTTTAAACTAATTATACCGCCGAAATATAGCTGAAATATTGCTGACTCGGCGTAAAACAACAATGATCAATCATAAACAAATTACATATTTGACATTCTTATAAAACTTTCTATTATCCCTATTTATATCACTGAAAATAAATCAAAAAGAGAAGAAATTGAATAAATCAATCCCTGAAAGTTTGACATTGTTATCTCGTGCCGTTCTCGGGATTGTCTGTGGACAAAATGTCAATTTGTATTCAGAAAATGGTCGATAACTAGGCACTAGAAGTAAATTTAAAAATTTTCTCTCGAATAGATCAGGGTTTTGTAACATGAAATAATTCCTGAAATTTTCATGTAAGTCTTCGAGAAATCGCATACACAAAATTTCGAAGTTAAGAAAGGAAGATGAATGTTATAAATGAATAGAAAAATAAATAAATAAATAGGAAAGAAAGAAAGAAATGAAAAATAAATATATCAATCAATTAATAAAAGATAAATACATCTAGGATCTCCCATGGTTTGTGGTTGGATTTGATTTTTATACAAAGTGTTTTTTTTTTATTTTGTTTTTGTTTTTTGTTTTTTTTTTTTTTATATTATTATAATTTGTTTTATTTTCATAATGTTTGCTCAAAGTTGAGTATTTAGACAAAATAATGTATAGTTACGGGAACAGGAAAATAAATAAGAAAAATAAGAAAACTTTAAATAGCTTCTCATGTCCCTTGTAGCTCTTGTGTAAGCAGACATACATGTAAGTAGGGGTAAAAGGTGACGATAACGAACAGTGATCAATCTCATTAATCTAGTAAACAGAACAAATCGTGTACAAGTAAAAACAATGGACTCAGTTACTTTGAGGAAGGCCTGAGTTCACATGAAGAGTATCATTGTGACGTCATTAAAAATATTTAAAAATGAACAAAAGAAATTACGCCCATATGATAATGTGTAAATAAAGGTTATTGTGTAGAAAGGCAATTTTTACCCATTATTTATATTATAGAACGCAAAGTCGCACCATTTGATAACAATACTACTGATGGTTTAAAAACAAATCTTGTGTAACATCTCAGGTTATTCGCCTTGACTTGACGCAGAGCAATGATCCAGTGGATTTGATCCATTAGTTTAATTATTACAGGAGATGCTAAATTAAGTGCAAAATCGTCGTTAATTTTTAAATCGTATTAATAAAACTGAAAAGAAAACATTTCTTAAAAACACGAGTGTATACAAATTATTTATCAAGACATTATAAAGCTGCACAACATTAGATAATGTAATGAAAATCGCTGATACGATAAGCATATTCCTGATGAACGTCAAAAGTGCAAAGACATCTACTAGGCTGATTTAGCTGAAATACGGGATATCAATCGCTAAAATGTCATTCGTATTCTAAAAAGTGCTGGGAGTTAATTCTGATATGAAGAATATATATATTTTTAAATTCATTACGATATAGCGGCGAAGGGAAATTTTTACTATTACACGCATTATCGGCAACATTACGAGTACTTCCTAAAAAGCCAAAACTAGCTCCCAGCACTCTTTAGGTAAGGGATTAAACCCCTTAATTTGTATAAATTTTTATGACCAAAAAAACAATTGGATGCCATTGCACTAACGTCATTTTCTACATTCAGCCTGACATTTCTTTTTATCATGTATACCAGTTTCGTGACACGCAATTGATACATGCGATACATGCAAAATAACTGGTACTAAGTATGACATAAACCTCTTCATTGGTTACAATATTACCTTACCTACAATTTTGTAGTTACTATTTTTACAGTGACTATTAAATATAATTCATATTAAGAATGTATTTAGATCACATTCCCCACTGCCTTTCTTAACATATCTAAGGACCCCTTAAACCATCAGATTGGGATCAGGTGCCTCAGAGGAGTTAGCATATCCTGTCGACCGGTCGCACCCACCGTAAGCCCTATTTACTGATCAGATACATAAGTTTCGAGCGAGAGTAAAAATCATAAAAAGGGCAAAAGCAGAGATCCCAGAAATCATGAATTAAGGAGTAGTAAGCATTCCCTGTTGATCGCTCACACCCGCCGTGAGTCCTATTAATTGATCACATGGAACGGGTAATTAGTATCAAATTACGTACATTGTATAAATATAGTATGAAATATGAAGGAAGTACATGGGATTTGTGCAGCAGCTTAATCGATTTTTAGAATATTTTGCAACGCATTATACAATGTACATTACTTATTTAAAATTAAATAGGATTCGCCTTTGTGTAGTAGCCATGTGTTATATAATCTGTTGTAGCAAAGAACATGGTGTCATAAAATGAGGTCATATGTACCTGCTTTTATCATATCGTGGTACCGAGTATGTTTTATAACCTTCTATGTAAAAATAATATAGCTCTTTTGCTCTTTAATCAGAGTATTTGCATAGAAACGCCTACACCTATCCTTTACACGCTTGCGCATGAAAAGCTGTAATAGAGCGTCTCAGACGCTAAGAGAAACCCTAAGACAAAGTTGATGAATAACGCGTCCCAAGCTCACGGACAAAATGTAGCTCCTGCCGGGAAAAAAAACCCGGTTTTGTTTAGTGCAGTCTATATCAGCAACCAAAATAAGAACGAGAACGGAAATTTCGGTTGCATCAAAATATCTAAATGTTTGAAGACCACATTAAGATTTTTCTTTTTATCAGGCAGAGGTTTTTGAATAAATTCTGCTTCAAAGAAAAATATCAAAAAACATTTATGCTAATAAAAAAAAAAAACAATTACTGCTCGTCGAAATTCGAACAGCTTGTTTGAAAACTTTGACTTCAAAAACTACATAGTATTACATATTGTCAACGACGAATCTTTAGCAGATCAACTTTAGAATAAGTACGTATGTTGAAACAAAATTATTTTCAACAAAGTAATTTTGTAGATATATGAACAATGACAAAATATGAAATTTTTTTTATTTTATTTTCACAGTTTTAAGGTCATTTTTATTGAAGAAACAATTGCCTCGAATGTCAAAAAGTCTGCTCCTTTGTTTATCGTGAGATGTTGTATAAAGTGTAGAAAAGTCATACGTTTGAGGCTATTGATTATTGAAAAGATATGTTATTAATATTATCCATTAATATGGGCATGGTCCTAACTTGTGAAACGCTTTATTTTTATATAGAATCAGTATTTCAATAATTCATAAAGACAGGATTGTCAATAAAATATTGTCATTCTTCAAACAAATTAAACCTAGTGTTAGCAATAAGCACAAAATTAATATAGAAAATACATTAAAGGATTAATATAATATGTCTTTGTTTACACAGCCGATGCCTGTTCTCTCTAGTTGAGCTTCCGGTTCTATTATTCCCCTTAAAGCCATTTTTTCTGAAAGAAAACTTAACACAATGTTTATTCAGAAAAAAATTATAAATCCAGGAAGTAGCTTACAGTTTTGTTTTAAAGCACTGTACTAATAAAATAATTCCTTTTCGGAAGAAATAGACACAATAACGTGACCTTTACATGTTAGCAGACCTGTTTTTGTATTAATATGACACAGAAATTATTTAAAAACTTCTACATGAGAAGTAGGAAGCACTTGCTCTGGCCTTCAACTCGACATTTCGATATATCGATGACGTATTATCAATTAACAATAGTAACTTTAATTCATAGTTCGACTCGATAAATCCCAGTGAGCTTGAAATAAAAAGATACCACAGATTCTTACACATCTGTTTCATGTTTAGATATTTTACTACAAAAAGACATTAATGGTAACCTGACAACAAAGCTTTATGATAAACGGGATGACTTCAGCTTTTCAATCATCAAATTCCCTTACTTACGTAGCAATATACCCTTATCACCTGCATACGGGGTTATGTCTCTCAGTTGATTCGATACGCAAGAGCCTGCTCTACGAATAAACAATTTCTAAAACGAGGCGAGCTATTGACAAAGAAGTTGATGAAACAAGGATATCAACAGTCTCGTTTGAAGTCGTCATTTCGCAAGTTTAACGGTCGATACACTGACCTTGTCAGCACATGCAACCTATCATTGAGTCAAATGCTGTTTGACGTTTTTCATACTAATTGTTAGGCTATAATGTATTCACTGTGCTGTCAACAGATTTATTTCGTTTTTTTTTCCGATTATGACAAGGAACACACGGTGGGTGTGACCGGTCTGCAGGGGATGCTCACTCCTCCATGGCATCTGATCCCACCTCTAAATTTTGAGGTCCGTGTTTGCTCTGCTCCAAATTTGTATCGTTTCATTAGACTTTCGAGATTGAATACTGTTCGTTATCTTCATATTTTATTGTAGTAGAGAGAAAAATCAAAACTATCTTATTTTTCATGTTACTGGTTGATCAAGTTACAAGTTCATAGGTCATTATTCGTTTCTCAAAAAATAAATGTATTTTTTAAAAAAAATGATCCATTGAATTAGGAATTCATCTATATTTGTTACATACTTCATTCAATAAATGCACTGGCTTCTCTTATTTTCACAGGATTCGAAGCGCAACTAAAGAAATTAACAATATTTATTATACCTAAATATCAGTACTTAAAAACAACATAAAATATAACGTTTGTTTTATTTCTTTTAACCAAAATCAAGGCATACTGTTCTTTCGTTAGGTAATGTGTCATTGTATGTTAGCCATAGTTTGGTCTCCGTATATAACATCCACATCTTCTTGGCCGGCTTCTGGGACAGTACCTGGAGCGTCTACAGGATCCAGTTAGGTACCCTCTGCGTCGGCAGTATCTGTAGCATTCTCTATTCCTGCATCTTCTCACACATCCACCTTGACCCACTACAGGATCAACAATAACCAAAGACAGAAGACACAACAGAAGAAGCAACACGGCTATCCTCATCTAAAACGAAATGTAAGCGGTTTATTATTATTTTAGCTTAACATGTTTCATTTTGCATGTATTATCAATGTACATGTGTATGTTTTTTTCATTTTTTTTCATCTTTTGAAGATATTGATTTTTAATCTTAAGTGTTTTTCCGCATAATTTGATACGTTAATAAATTAATAAATTACTGTTTTTCATTATTTTCATTAAAAGTATAACATATGATTTCAAAATATGACCATAGGATTAATATATACTGTCTTTTATGAATTAAAGAAAATAAGAACCAGAGTTTCTCAATTCCAAATCGGTTCAATAGTAATGTATATATTTTGATAAAGGGCTCATGTGAAGATAAAAATTTTTAAAAGTGTTCTATGCTTAAATCACTTGGGACATGTAAACATGTATAGTCATTTAAGGGATTTTTAGTTCAAAATGATCAATCAACATCTCAGAAAATAATATGTGTTTATAATGTTTTATACGTCCCTGTTTTTAAATGTAGTCTAAAAATTCAGCCTCATGTTTTTTTGTTTCAGACCTTGTAAAACAAATCTTTACCGTGATAAATTTAAGTACGAAGTAACACAGATAAATCTTGCAAGGCACGCAGGTTTGTTTCTGTCAAACTCGAGTAGATGCTTGAAAATCAGGTGCAGGACCTAATCCCCACCCCCACCTCCAACAAATGCAGCATACAGCGAAATTCAGCACGCCGAAAACTTTAATGAATCTGGTATATACAGGAAGTTAACATATAGTTTTTCATCTCATAAAAAGATTCAGTCCCAGTCTAAGGTAAAAATATTGGAATCTTGAGGGAGACTAAGAAATTTTTGAAAAAAACCAAAGGCAGAACAATTTGTATGAAAAATGTCTGTCAAAATATAACCCAACAATAGGCTGTATTTGCAAACGAGATCATTACATAGATCATACGATTAATGATCATGAAATGCTGATTTTAAATTTTTGAAAGCCTTACAACCTCAATTAATTTATCAGTAGCCTTCATTTGTTAATCATTGATAGTGCTTTGAAAATGCTCTTGCGACTGAATCAGGTGGATAAACACAATATGTACGTGATATTGAAATGTTACTTCATAAATAAGGGGAGTTGACGATTGAGAAATTTAAGTCATTATACTTGTGATATGCTGCAGGGATTAGTTGGTCATATATCTATAGGGCACATAAAATATATAAAAAGATTTAATTTAACTCAAGCCATTTTTTAATCAAGTTTAAAGATAAGTATCCCATCAAAAACTACTCCAGACTAATTAATTCCTACCTGTATCCAGGACACAAGGCTTTTTAAAATTCTTTATTGTTTACTACCGCATAACAAAAAAAAAGCATGGCAAACTATCAAGGATTGCCATTTATTATATAAAAAACATGGGCATTTTTTCTTTATTTTAAAAATTTCTGTTTTTTTTTCTTAAAATAATTTCAGTAAGATTAGATCCACGTTCTCATGATTTGATTTTGTATTATTGACGCCCTGAAACTAAATTATTGATACAAAATATTAAATCTTTAGAAAGAAAAAAAGTAATAATCGTTTGCTAATTAATTACTGTAAGCTGCAGTATTCGGAGGAAAAAAAAAAAAGCAAGTGTTTGTTTACTTATACCCAGGATTGATTTGTATCTCCAGTACAAAGATAAACAGAAATTCTGTAACATGGAAAATATGTCAGATGTCTATGTTATAGCATTGTGTGAGAATGTAGGAAAAGGAATGAATGTAATGAATAAAGCTCAATCTGGTACAAGTCAATCAACAGTACTGGTCAAAGAAATTCACGCTGAAATTTGCAAAATGTAGACGATTTTCATTTCTGGAAAGGAAGGGGGGGGGGGTTAAAATTAACGTTCAATATTGATAACTTATGGGACATCAGTAAAGTGCTTATGCTTTTAAGCTTTATTTTGTTTTCATCATGATATTCTTTTTATTACGCAACAGATGTCTCAAATAATTAAAGACGTCAACGTACTAAAACCGGAACCTGTGTGAAAAGAGGTCTGCAATTATTGGATAAAACTTTACTCCTATGAATAACAATTTGCTTTGTCCAACAATTCTTGTTAAATAAATCTAAAAAATTGTGCATATAACATTAACGGTACATATACTCAATAGATGAACCTGCTTCAAGATCATTAAGATTTTTATATTTATCCTAAATCATACTTCGTCTTTTGGATACCAGAAAATGTAATACTAAGTCTTGTACGTGCGGACAAGACAAAAACGTTAAGTAAAAAATTAAACTTAAAAACCTTAGACACTACGTACTAGCGAAATCATGTGATTGAAAGAAAATTTAGCCATCAATTGCAAACCAGATGCCTTACCTTTAATGATTTCCAAGCGGAGGAAAAATATACTCTAAGTAAACTTTTGTAACTTGGAGAACTTCAGGCGTATATATATGCATGTTGCATCCAAATGTTTCATTGGCTGACCAGACCAATAGAACAATTACGTAAAATAAAGACAAAGCAGTGTCAATTTGCCCAAAGCAAATCATATATTTGAAAACACGTTTTGTGTGCAATTATGTAAGAAAATGTTTATATTGATGGTTCTAAACTTGGAAACAATCCATTTTGTTCTACATTTTTTTTAATGTGACTGATTAGATTTTTTCAGGGACACATAAAAAATCACCTCATCAAATGTAAATAAATGTGTACTTTTTAATTTAGCTTAAATCACATATCCGGTTATTATCAATTTAAAACTACTTTATAAAAATAATATCTTATTGTAGATATATTATAATTTACATTTGTTACACATTTTACACATTTACACATTTGTTTACACTCACATATATTTTTAAATGCGCCAGGTAGCAAAGTTTGTATCATTTCTTAGCATTCACTCCTGTTTTAAATCAACAACACTGTTTTCTGTTCATTAAATGTGCTTTGAGACCCAGTTTGTTTATCAATAATGACCATCCCCGGATCAGTTCACTTATTCCTCACACCTGTTGTAGGTTATTGTTTTACACTCTGATGTATGTATGTCTGTAAGCAAGTTCAACGTCAATCTGTAACTAAAGAACAATTATTAAAAGAGATGAATGACTTGTTTTCCAACTAAATTACCTCCCACTCATTCATTTTGTGGTCTGAATGGGGATTTTAAGATAAATCAATCCTCATTTAACACTTTAGAGTTGAATTTAAATGTGTCACAAAATGAAACAATCTCCTCAATACGTACTAAACATTACATTTAATAAAGAAATGTATTCGACTAAAATTTTATGTGAAAATTCATGAAGGTTATAAACAGAAATTAAACAACTATTAACCATAATTATGGATTGGAGTCCATATGCAAACATTTTATTAATCGAATGCACCATGGACCATATGGGTTGTGAATATTTAAACATTAAGGTCAAGATCAAGTAAATAAAATTTGCCTACAGATTTCTCAATTTGAGAAATGAATTGCTTAAATGATGCTTATAACAATAACTTGGTAAAATAAGGTCTATCGAGGCTTAATCGTAGGGTAAATTTCACGGGAAAAAAAACAAAACAAAAAAAACATATTTCAACATATCAGACAATAAGAATATATGTAGATTGCCTACAGTCTCTCAGAAAACGGTAAATTAGATATTCTTTTTTGTGATAATGAATTAAATATAGGTATCGGGTTTACTTTTGAAATAATTTTAAAATTAAATTCCATAAAAATGCTTTATTTTTAACATAAATCTATTAAGGCCATAAATTAAAAAAAGTAAGTTTAAAATGCGGGCGTGACCGGTTGGCAGGGGATGCTCACTCCTCCATGGCAACTGATCCCAGCTCTGATGTCTTAGAGGTCCGTGTTTGCTCTGCTCTTATTTTGTAATGTTTCATGGACATATAAGCTCGAATACTGTTCGTTATCTCCACACACACCTCTTTCATAATTATCAAATCATAATGGATCAAGCACCAAAAGACAGTCTTAATTCATTTACTAGACCTTAACCTTAAAATACCCTTTTTTCATATGAATATTTCTATTTAAACGTTATTATTAACAAAAGTGAACGGGACTGCATGGGTAGCGAGCTGGGCCTATTTCAGCCCCTCTCCCACTCAGTGATCAAGATGAATACACACAAAATATGAATGTATATGTATAAGTACCATAAATTCAAGACTTTTCCTTAACTATCATTGAATCAAACAGCATGTATAAAATCGGGTTTTACATCTTTCAGGAAGTTTCTCTATTCATCAAATTTACAATCTCAATCAGCAATGCACTTAGAATAGACACAAAATTATATAGACTACGATTGATTGATTGTATATTGTTTTACGTCCCATTCGAGAATTTTTCACTCATATAGAGACGTCACCATATACCGATGAAGGGCTTCAAATTTTGACCTTTACTCGGCACTCAGGGCCATTGAGCAGTGAGGGATCTTTATCGTGCCAACGCCTGCCGTGACACGGGGCCTCGGTTTTTAAGGTTATACACTACGAAAAACGTACTATACTTGATTAAAGATTTCTACTAATTATAGATTTCAAAAACCAACTGTATAATAATATAACTATAGTAATTATATTGATCTTGTAAGTAAATACAACAAACTGCTGGGTCATAATTCGACTAACATGTTTCATACCAATTGTTTAGCCTTTCTTTTTTTTATTTTTAACTAAATTTGTCTACATATTATTCTGTTTACCTGATCAATACACAGGGCTTAAGGCGGGTGGGACAGGTCGACAGGGGCTGCTTACTCTTCCTAGGCACCTGATCCTACCTCTGGAATGTAAAGGGAAAGTGTTTATGCCCTGTGAACAAATATGTAATGTGTTGTTTTTAGATTTCTTGAGATCAATTACCTATACGTTATTTCTCCTATTTCATTTAGAGTTTGCCATAATGATATATGGAGATAATGAACGCTTATGAAGCTCAAAATTCAATGAAACAATACAAACTAAGATCAGAGAAAACCCAGACCCCTAAAAACATCAAACGCGGATTCAGGTGTCATGGAGGAGTTAGCTCCCCCTGTCGACCGGTTATACCTGTCCTGTGCTCTTTTTCATGATTGGAGAAACGTAAATATTGAAGACAATTTAGTGTGAAAATAACTATTATAATATGGGGTAAAACAATATTAAAGAAACAAGTGCCTGTTGATAAAACAGCGGGAAAAAATTCATTATTAAAATAAATAAATTAATAAATAAAACAAAATAAATTAAAATAAAAATTGACCAATGTGATGTTCATTACAACACTCGATACATACCAGTAATTATACTCAACGTGAAGAAAATCCATTGTAAGATATTAATTTCACATCATAATAGTTACAGCTAATATGCTCAGAAAAACCCTGCAAGTCCAGTGTAACAGTTGTTTTTTATGTTTGTCATCGTAAGTAATTGGGAACAGAATTAAAATAAAGCAAGATTAAGGAACTATTCGGAAGAAGTAACGAACAGATACATCTTAAAGTATTATCATTGTAAACAGATTCAAAAGGACGAAGTATAACTCATAAAAGACAAAAATATCACAGCCATAAATTATAACCTTTTTAATCTACTTTACGCTTGTTTACATTTGAAGGTATTGTTTGTTTGTTTGTTTGTTGTTTAACGTCCCTCCCGAGAATTTGAAGGTGGATTTCTGTTTAATTCCTCTAGGTTTCTCCAACATATATATGTATTTGTTTGTTAAACCGAAAAAGAAAAACAGATAATTTGTGTTATGAATATTTATACCGAAACCGGTCACGTCAATTAATCTTCATCTGGACAAGTAAACATTGAAAGGTGTAAAGACTGTATACTTTCGGTTAAAGTAAATAGTAAATGATTATTTAGGTAATAATATAATGCTATGTTTGTCGTCAATTACTCAGTGTAACACTTTGTTGTAAAACATTCGGCTGTATTGTAATATTTTAAGATTCATATGGGTACAGCCCACTACCCAGATAGCATGACTACGTTGGCCCAACGTTGGCTATTGGTTGGACCGTTGGTCGATGGTTGGCGTTGGGTATGCAACGTTGGCCCGACGTTGGGCCAATGTCAACATAACACTATTTTAGTCAGAAGCCGAGGTTGGTTGGGGACACAACGTTGGCCCAACGTCGGGCCAACGTTGTTAGCTTGTCACCACTAAGTTGACGGAGTTTGTTGGGAGTACAACGTTGGCCCAACATTGGGCCAACATTGTGAATTACGTCCTTATTTTGTTACATTTTGTTGGGTAGACAACGTTGAACCAACACTGGGGTGAAGTCAGAATTCAGGGGACACTGGAAGTATTCGTTATAAAATCGGACAAAGAGAGAGTGAAAGAAAAAGATAAATATTATGAGTTAATTATATGTATTTAATGTTACACATACCGTGTGTTCTTAATAAACATGCAGGGATGTATCAAGTTATTAGACGTAAAATATGTTTAAATCTTTAAACACTACAATAAATTAAATGTTTTTGAGAATCACATAAAAAATTATTCAATTATGCATACATCTAAATTAACTTGCATAAAAAAATAAAAATAAAATGAAAATATAAGACAAACACACTATAAAAACTTCCATTACATAATTTTTCTAAAGTGTTGGATTGAGGGAGCATATTCCAAGATAAGAGCACATTTTCTGACCAAGCAGTTAGGGCAGGGTTTTTCACAGCGTGAGACTGGCCAGTTTCTATGGTAATCGTGATATCTGATAGTACCGGATGGTCAAATCTGCATCTCTTTAGCACGTCCAATATTTTAATCACAGAGGTTTCCTACAGAAGAACGTTGAAGGTTTTATGTAAAAAAGAAAGCTTTGAAATGTGTATTCTTTAATGTGGATTTTTAGAGTTATGTCCAGACATTTCACATATACAGAAATGTAAGTACCATTTATCTCAAATTATTTCATATTTTAATGCACAGAATGCAAAGTTTGTTTATCTAAACATGCTTAATGCAATCTTCATCTTTTTACTAAGCTTGTCTAAGTTTTATGTAACTAGTTCAGTAGCTAATCACTGTGTCTTTTCTGCATGATGTATAAATCATAAAATAAAACGTATCATTGTTACCATTAAAATTTAATTTGTACACGGTTAACAGCTCTTGAGCTTTATTTTTGGAAAATGGTAAATTAATTAAGTGCATCAACAGTGACTGTAACAAAGGAAAATATATAATAACGTCCACATTCCAATTACATTTGGATTCATATTAAATTTTATTTTTTTGAATATCTTTGAAAGTTTGGCTGGGTCAGTTTCATAATCATTTAGACATCTATAACATTTTGTCATATTTTCTACCAAATTTTAAGAAATCACGGAGTTATAACTTGGTGCTTTAATGGAAAGCAAATGTTTTCTTTATAGATATGGCAAAAAAAGAAGAGAATATTTGCTGCCATGTTCTC